TGAATCAGGTAAAGGCCCGTTTATTACCATGGTTCATAGTGTTCTTTTTTTCCCTAATGGCAGTCCCATAGTGTCCCAATCTTTTCTTTTTTTTTTCCCCTTTCATGCCGACCCTAGGCCGGACCCTTGAACTTTTCGGATGAGGTCATTTGAAAAAATGGGACTGCAGCTTGGAAAGGTATTGGCATAGTGGTAGTTAGTTATTCCTCCACTCTGATTTAACATCTACAGAGATTAGTGCACAGAAAATGAGCGATAGCGAACTTCAGAAACCAAGCGGCATCATACACATGAGACCAGATAGTCGTGACCTCGAACGAAAAGCAGAATTGCAACACAGGTCGCACCAAATAAGAGCACAGCAAAAGCTCATAAGTGACAATGTTCGAACAGTCTCATCATCATCAACAAAGAACCAATGTCGACATCCTATCTGGCGCTCTGCGCCCAGACTACAAATGGCAGATCCTATCTAGCCTATCTAGAACGCCGCTGGTGACGTCAACAGCTCCCCGAAGTACGAGCAGAACTCGGCCAATGCCGTTCGCCTCAAGCACCCGGTATGTCTCTTGTATCACTCACAACTTCGATCCCCCACTCACAGATGCCACATGCGCCCAAGGACCACCATGCGCCCCATCCAGCTCTGCAGCGCAGCTCAACTATGGCTGCCTGCCTCTCCCTGCAAGCCAATGAGCGTGTGAGCACTGGCCAGCTTTAGCGCAGCAGCGCTTGGGCAGCATGAAGCCAGTGGGCCCCGGCCCAGAAGCTTCCGGTAGGCCCCGAGAGCATGAGCCTCAGTCCAGACTGATCAGGCCCAAGGCCTGTGGTGGTTACCAGCGCCCAGCTGCCCTCAGCCTGTGTTCGGTCCATGTTGTGTATCCGGCCCAGGGCCTGCCTCAGTTACATGGAATAAAAGGCAGCCTTGGCCTGGGCGCTTCCAACCAACTGGCGCTGTGCAACTGCCTGAATTTCCCTTCAGTTGCGTAGTAGTCCAAAATAGGCCTAGGTCGGGCCTGCCTTCACTTAGGGCGGCCAACCTTGCTGATATCGGGGCCCAGTAGGGCTTACCGAGGCCTTGTGCCTCACATTCCCTCCTCCATGCTTCGACAGTCCTCTGGCGCTTTCCTTTCTGCAATGCCTTCTTGTAGTGAGCGACAGCCTGTGGAACGGTCTGCATCAATTCCATCCGCGTAAACCATCTGCCCTCCTTAGGATCAATGTAATGTCTAAAACGAACACGATATTGCATTTTCGGTTTAGGAGGACGTTCCCTGCCTGTCGGTCTTGGAACTGGAATTTCTCTGTGGTCCACGATGTCATCAATGTCGACCTCTCCATCCATGGTTGGGGGCAGCATTGAGCGATGAGAGGGAAACTGATCAGTTTCCTTTGAAGGTGCGAGCTTGGAGTCATGGAAGACAGGGTAGGTGCGTAGGTGACCAGGGATGTGAACTACGTAAGACGGCCCATCCGCATCCTCTCCGACAATATCTAAAACCTCCCATGGCCCAAAATACTATGGCATGAGTTTATGGGAGATCCCGTGCTCCTGTCCCAGTTCCGAGGACTTACCCCAGACTCTGTCCCCTACCTGAAATGTAGATGGCGGTGGCGCTTGTTATCAGACTCTATCATCGCTGCCTGTGCCTTATGAATCTGTTCCACTGCCTGTTGCATCAGTTCATATCGATAGGCAAATTCTAGTGTTCCTGGTGCAGCAGTTGGCTGGTTCTCACGTAGTGGAAAGTCTAGGGGCAGTCTAGGCTTGAAAGTCGGTAGCAGACTGTTAGGACTCACCCCGGTGGCGCTGTGCACAGCATTGTTGTACAGGCTGGCTATAAGAGCAAGTTTCTCATCCCAGTCCACCTGGTTGGGCTTGATGTAGTGCCCCAACAGGTGTTGTACAGCGCGGTTCAGCTGCTTTGCTTGGCCGTTTGCCTCTGGACGGTTCTCGGAGGTCATCTGCAGCTGTGTACCCTGTTCTGCAGCTGCATCCTTCCACAACTCACTTGTTAATCTGACATCCCTGTCACTAATAATAGACTTAGGAAGCCCAAAGTCCCTGCCCCAGTTCTCCTTGAAGAGTCTAATCACACACTCCGTTTTTGCTGTTTCAGCCATTGCTACTAATCTAGCATACTTACTAAATCTATCCACAATGACAAAAATGTGCCGCATTCCGCTCTTGCTGGTGACCAGCATGTCCATGAAGTCCATGGACAGGCTCTCACCGGGCCTTTCCGGAATCGAAAGGGGCTTGAGAAGCCCAAGAGGGGCCTGTGTATGTGGCTTGTCCCTCTTTGCTGTTTTAGGCATTGCTACTAATCTAGCATACTAAATCTATCCACAATGACAAAAATGTGCCGCATTCCCCTCTTGCTGGTGACCAGCATGTCCATGAAGTCCATGGACAGGCTCTCACCAGGCCTTTCCAGAATCGGAAGGGGCTTGAGAAGCCCAAGAGGGGCCTGTGTACGTAGCTTGTCCCTCTGACACACTTGACAAATCTCCACGTACAGCTTGACATCTCGCATCATTATGGGCCACCAGAACTGCTGCAGCAGATTGGCTGCAGTCTTCTTATACCCAAAATGTCCTGTGGCATCATGACACTCGCCTAGAAATAAACTACGCAAAGACTCCCGATTAGATACACACAAACGTTTATTCCCGGCCTTCTCAAGGAACACCAGACCGTGGACAAACTCACTCCACAGTCGCTTTGTCCTCCGCCTCGAGTCTGCGTATGATCTCAGCCATAAACGGATCTGGTCTACGCGACAGCGCATCAGCAACTTTATTATACTCTCCTTTGTGCCGGGGCTCAAAGTCATACGGCTCAATGACTTCGATCCAACATTTTAGCGCATCAAAGAGCACCGGCTGGGTTCTCATCCACTTCAGGGTCTCATGATCGGTCCTAGCGTAAAAGAACCTCCCAAGGAGGTAGTGCCACCAGTGGGTTAGCGCTTTGTAGATCGCATAGAGCTCCTTCTCATAGGTGGACTTGGCCAACTTCTGAGAGAGCATCTTTTTGGACATGTACTCAACAGGCCTCAACTTTGGACCCTCCTGCTGCGCGAGCATAGCACTTATGCCACATTGGCTAGCATCTGTGGTGACTATAAACGGCTTATCATTCGAGAGCTTCAAGACCTCATGGTGTGTTAGAGCATGCTTTGGATGTCTGAAAGCAGCCTCACACCTGTTTGTCCACTCCCACGGGGTGTCAAGGCGGGTCAGGTCCATCAAAGGTGCGGCCACTATGGGGTAGTAGCCGGTCTCAGTCACAAATTGAGGACGTTGCCAATCACGAATGCTGGTCACCTTCGCGTCATCAGCCTCACACCTGTCTGTCCACTCCCATGGGGTGTCAAGGCAGGTCAGGTCCGTCAAAGGGGCGGCCACTACGCTATAGTTCTTAACAAAATTGTGATCATCCCTAGGAAGGACCTCATCTATATCACACACTGAGGACGCTGCCAATCACGAATGCTGGCCACCTTCGCATCATCAAGCTTCAATCCCTCCGCGAAAATCTCATGATCCACGTAGAAGATCCGGGTGCAGCCAAACTCGCATTTCTCCCCATTGATCTTGAACTGCTGTTGTCGTAGGAGACTAAGGACTTTGTCTAAGTGACCAATGTGCTCCTCGACAGTCCTACTAAAGATAAGTATGTCATCGAGGTACACGATGACAAACTTGTCCAAGTGGTCATAAAAGATTTGGTTCATGGCGTGCTGAAAGGAGCCAGGAGCATTGCAAAGGCCAAAAGGCATCACCACAAACTCGTACAGACAGTACCTGGTCTGAAAAGCGGTTTTGTGTTGATCCTCCAACCGTATTGCCATCTGATGGTACCTAGACTTCAGATCTACCTACGTACCGACACCCTTGCACTCGGTCCAGTAAGTCATCGATGAGCGAGTAGACACCCTTGCACTCAGTCCAATAAGTCATCGATGCGCGGTAGGGGCTCTCAGTGCTTGACAGTGATGGCATTGAGGCCCCTATAGTCAATGCACATCCTCAAAGTTCCCCCCTTCTTCGGTACAAATGACACTGGAGATCCGTAAGGGGAGACACTCGGCCGGATCCAACCCTTCTCTATGAGTTTCTTGAGCTGTCGGCAAAGCTTATCCAACTCGCCTGGAGACATCCGATGGATCCTACCCTTCAGGATGCTAGACCCTGGGGTAATCTCTATCGCATGGAGGACCTCCCTCTCAACAACCCCTTTCAACTCTTCAAATAGATCAAGGTACTTAGCGATTATAACCTCTATCTCCGACGACACTTTCACCAGCTCGCCTACTACAGAGACATAAACTAGATACATACCCTACTCCGGATTTCGCTTATAATGATTATAAAATGCGGCCGCACACATGCATCTGTAGGTCTCGATTAGACTACTAGCCTTGAACTTACGTAATCTGGTGTTTAACCACTTTTCGATCCCAATCAAACTAGGGCAGTGGAACCCAAAGATTGTACATACCTAACAGGATGTCCGTTGGGAGATAATCGCTGACTAGGAACGAGACTCGATGTCTCAGCTCCCCTCCCGCACACGGGAAATAGCACTCAACTCCTTAAGGCAGTCGTTGACTACCATGCGTTGTTTGTTGGCACAGGTAGACTCAAGCACTGCACTTGCCCCTGTAAACAGCCTCTCAACACACGCGCGACTGATAACATTCCGTCTCGAGCAACTGTCATAATAGGCCCCGGCCTTGCGGCCGCCGATGACCACCTCGCCGACGAATAACTCACCCTTCGGTGCTTTAGCCATAGCTGTCCAAGAAGATAGCGGGTCTAATCTAGACCACTCCTCCTCTAGCTCCTCTAAGGACTCTAACACATTCAACGAATAGAGGATCATTGGGTTCGAATGTGTTTGCCAAACAATATTGGAATCAATAGCTTGGGCCATCTCTCGAGATGCTGAGTGTGTGTCCACCACCTCGACCCTAGCAGGAACAGCTAGCATTCCGACGTGTTTCCCGAAGATGTGCTACAACTGTTGGCGACATTGCTACCTATGGGAGCGGAGGATCGCATCGCCTGCCCCATTGTAGGCAGGATCTTCTACTTGTTTGTTTCGGCACTTAAACTGATTATGGCCATATTGGCCACAACGGATACAAGCCTACCGAGTATACCGATCTCTCCACACGTCCTCGGTGAGACCCGCTTTCTCCCATGGAGGAGCATTGGGGTCTACTTGACTATTAGAGAGCCTCCACAACGTCTACTGGTCGCCTTGCCTTTCTGAACTGAGGCAGCGACTGCTCCACCCACTGAAGCTTCTGCGCTGCTAGACCACGAGCCTCCACGACGTCTACCGGTCGCCTTGCTTTTTTGAACTGAGGCAGCGACTGCTCCACCCCCTGAAGCTTCTGACTGCCCACCTCTGCACCTGCCCCCTCATGGAGGTCGTCGTCCAACTAGATGGTGGTACCATCATTCTCAATGAACATGATGCAACCCTTCGCCTTCCAATTGGGAGACAATGTTTTCTTCCTTCCATCCATAGTGGGTTGGGGTTCGTGCCCCATCTTTGCATCCGGATCTAGGGCCTTCTTGCTGAACGAATGAAAGGTTTCCACGTTAATGTTAGCCTCTCCTACCAACTGGTTCTTAAGTGGCATAGGAAGCCACCTCAAGGAAGTTGTCAGTAAGACTTGGGGGTCATACCGTACTCCAAAAACACAGATCAGACGCTCTACAGCGTCTGTGGCATCCCTCACTGACTTGAACGGTCTGTTGCTCAGAGTCAGGATCGCATCAGTGGCCTTTTGGGCCTCCTGAGGCCTTTTAGACCGACACTGACCTCACTATCGCATCAATGGCCTTTTGGGCCTCTTGAGGATCAGGCCACCATTCCTCCACCATCTCGACAAAGTCTTCAAGTTTCTGGTTAACTGCCCAAGCGCGGAAGTCATGTTCGTACCCCTGTAGCTGCACGAGCCCACTCAAGATGGCAAGGTCAACTTGCACTTAAACTGACCAACACTGACCTCAGGATCGCATCAATGGCCTTTTGGGCCTCCTAAGGATCGGGCCACCTGTCCTCCACCATCTCGACAAAGTCTTCCAGTTTCTGGTCAACTTGCTCAGAGTCAGGATCGCATCAGTGGCCTTTTGGGCCTCCTGAGGAGCGGGCCACCTGTCCTCCACCATCTCGACAAAGTCTTCCAGTTTCTGGTCAACTGCCCAAGCGTGGAAGTCATGTTCGTACCCCTGTAGCTGCACGAGCCCACTCAACCATCTTGCTGCACTCCCCTCAAGGTAGGAGGCAGCCACAAGCACTTCCTTGTGTGGCAAGGTCAACTTGCACTTAACCTAGACCGATACTAACCTCAACCATGTGTCAAGGTTGTCGCCCCTCTTGTCCACTGAAACGGGTTTGGGTGAGGTGATGGCCATCTTTGGAACCCACTGTTTTTCCCAGTACCTGCCCCACTCAGGGCTGTGGACCCTGGGGCGCAGGCTGCTGCACTAACTGCTGTTGGGGCTGTGTGCCCAGCTGTTGTGCTGGATGTGATACACCAGACTGCCCAGTTACGGCAACCTGCGACGGAGGTTGGGAATATACTGTTTGTACAACAATCCGTACACTAGGACCTGCTGAGAACCCTCCTGTCAATGGCATACCTAGGGAAACGGCTTGGACCGATGCTGGAGGGATTACAAATGGGGATACCGCAATCACCGATGGGACAAAAGGAGGTTGTACCACGGGCCAGGCACCAGGCCCTGATGGTGATGGTGTCGCCTGAGCTCGCCCAACCAGCACGGCCAGGCTCTGTTGGATGTCCTGTAAGAGCGCCATTTGGTGATCCTGCATTTCTACGACATCTAGCAAGACCGTCCTCAAGGTCCTCACATCATCATCCATGTCCGTCAGTCCATCTCTAACTCACTAATGGTCGCTTGTCTCCGCCGCATCCTGACTCTTCTCCTAATCATTCGCTTTTTTTTTGCCTTCATCTCCCCTAAGGCCTTCTGTAGCTGTGGCCTTCTGTAGCTGTGCCTCCTGATCATCTGCTTGTTGTATGGCAACATCCTGGCTTGCCATGACGCCCACTAACTGACTCAGGGTCTGTGTGACAATCGAACCTACAGTCCCTGAACTACTAGCCTGAGAGCCTTGCTGCCCAGCAGTTGCCATGGCTGGCCTCGCTTGCAAATGCCCTGCTTGCCTCTGCGGCCCTAGCTCTTTGGCGCTGCTGCTGCCTCTCTCTCTGCTCGCGGAACAGGAATCTGTCGCCCTCTTATCGTGTGTCTCGCTGATCACAGGATCCCGTCGTCCTCTCTAGTTTCCTCCCTGTCGCTCATAAGCTACAGAACTGCACACCGACTGCACTAGGTCACTCACTCGATGCCTACCGGAGTGTCATGCACAGAGCGATTTAAAATAGATAAATTAATTAACCGTTGGTTATTTTAGAGTCAACACATTCGGGTCCAACAGGTAAGTTCAGATGCCTACAAACGAAACTATTTTTACTCTAGTCCACAAACAGAGAGCAGATTTCTACCTAATGCTGTCTGTCAGATGTCAATGGCAGTCCATCTAACTAATCAAGAATAAAAATAGGATCGTCTGTCTGGATCACCTGAAATCTACCCCTCCCTCAGTTCCTGCTGATGGTCACTTGACGTCGGCGTTCCTGAGCAATCCAGAACAGCGTGCGTGTCTAAACGTGCGCACACGGCCCGCCCCTGTGCCCTGAGTGTATGATGAGCCGGCTAGCCCTGCACTATTTTTATCCTTGCGTGCAGTGAGCCTTACACCAACCACCAGGCTGATCAGGAGGCGTTTAAATACAGCCCCCAAAGTCCTCAGGAATTATTTAAAGTCACAGACAGGACGACGATCACAGCCTCCGATGCTTATTTATAGACGCCTAGTACTCATCTCCCCTGCAGAGCTGGCCTGCCCCTCATCACCCATCTACAAGCGCAGCGAGCAGACAAAGGAAGGAGCAGGACAGCATGCGTGCTCTACTCCCGCTGGGTTGGCATGGTGACCGTGACCCGGTGCTTCGTCCAGGGCCCTTCAGAGAGCTCCGCCCTCTCCTTCCAGAAGCTCCACATGAACAATGCCGACTGTCAAGGTTGAGCGCACTCGACTCCTCACATGAGAGGACTCTCAAGACAGAACACGCGTCCTCACGGTAAGGAGTGTCGAAGAGGGTAGATAAGGTTAGGTGCAACGTACCTCAAAATAGCTGCCCCCAACCACAGATATTCTCACCAAATGACCTAATGCCGATTGTGATGACCAATCGCTGCTTCGGCACAACCAGCATTACACCATCGTTCCACCTCGGCATCAATCGCACATCAGATAGTTCTCATCACACTGCGAACACCCACCATTCACCTCGTAGCTGTCCTGGCGATACCCCTCACCTCCCGGGTCGCCCTGCTTGCCTTCGGTCTCCTCACTACACTCCCTACGACCGCTTTCGCCCAGCAGACCGCATGCATGTACCGCATAGGCAGAAGACAAGCGCCAGATGAGCACAACGTACCACAGCTCAGATACCAAATTGCAAGGAAAATGAGTGATAGCGAACTTCAGAAACCAAGCAGCATCATACACATGAGACCAGATAGTCATGACCTCGAACCAAAACCAGAATTGCAACACGAGTCCCACCAAATAAGAGCACAGCAAAAGCTCATAAGTGACAATGTTCGAATAGTCTCAGCATCATCAAGAAAGAACCAATGTCAACATCCTAATGTTCGAATAGCCTCATCATCATCAACAAAGAACCAATGTCAACATCCTATCTGGCGCTCTGCGCCCACTACAAATGGCAGATCCTATCTAACCTATCTACAATGCCGCTAGTGACGACAACAGCCTCCCGAAGTGCGAGCAGAACTCGGCCAATGCCGTTCGCCTCAAGCACCAGGTATGTCTCTTGTATCACTCACAACCTCGATCCCCCACTCACAGATGCCACGTGCGCCCAAAGACCACCGTGCACCTCATCCAGCTCTGTAGCGCAGCTCGGCTATGGCTGCCTGCCTCTCCCTGCTCGCCCGTGAGCGTGGGAGCGCTGGCCAGCGTTAGCGCAGCAGCGCTTGCGCAACCTGGAGCCAGTGCCCAAATGCCGAATGTCGAGGCAGGCCCTTTCCTATATCGAAGTGGCCTGCTGCTGCGTGCGGTAATGCGGTACTAGGCCCCGGCCCAAAAGCTTCCGGTAGGCCCCGAGAGCCTGAGCCTCAGTCCAGACAGGTCAGGCCCAAGGCCTGTGGTGGTTACCAGCGCCCAACTGCCATCAGCCTGTGTTCGGTCCTTGTTGTTTATCAGGCCCAGGGCCTGCCTCAGTTACATGCAATAAAAGGCAGCCTGGGCCTGGGCGCTTCCAACCAACTGCCGCTGCATTGCGTAGGAGTCCAAAATAGGCCCAGGTCGCGCCTGCCTTCACTTAGGGGGGGCGACCTCGCTGATATCGGGGCCCAGTACAGCTTACCGAGGCCTTGTGCCTCGCATTAGCATCTTCCATACCTGGCATGATTTCCTAAACTAGTAAATCTTTGTCAGCGGACAAACAATAAAACAGGAAATATTTGCCAACGCCTCCACCAATTAAACAACATATGGCAACACATAGAAAGAAAAAATTTGAGAGATAAACATAAAGAACAAACTGCATTTAGAAAGTAGCTCTTTCTCTTTCTCTCTCCATGTGCGTCACTCCCATTCAATTACCATCAACAAATGGGCCCTCAACGATGGAATACACTGGTGACCGACTGTTAAATTACGACAAGTCGAAAACTGAACGGTTAAAAAAAAATGACAGTTGGTAAACAGGTCAAAAGCTTGAATTGTGACCAAATAATATGAATACAACAATGTTAGGGGTCGTCTCATTTCCTGTTGCTATTGTTTTCATTACCTTGTGGTGTTTCGTTTTTTTCTGTTAGTAAACAGGCCACAAATTTGATTTGTGATGGAATCCAACTACAATAATTCGAAGGATTGCACGCTGCAGACAAACCCCAGTCCCAGGTCCCGAGTCCCAGGCCCCAGATCTCAGTCCCGAGTTCCAAGTCTTCATCCCCAAGTCCCATTTCATGTTCCATTAGTGGTTCCATACACTTGCACAGTACTCACGAATACTCTAGAGGGTAGTTTTCGTTTGTACCTGAGGCCATGGCAGGCTAGTTATGTAGCTTGTGGTAGAAAGTCCCTAGAAGATAACAGTTATGGGTTGAGGAGTCTGTCTTCAGAAGGCACTAAAAATTCAGCCCCACTAGATGACCTGTTGCGGCTTCGCTCGCAAAGGAGAAGTTGCATGGCGTTAAGAGAGGAGTCGTCGGGAAAGGGGGGGGTGGGGAACTGGACCGGAAGAGGGGCCGTGGGCCCTGTTTTGGTGGTGGCATACCTGTAGAGTGTTCTGGGAGCTGTTCGCAGGTGCTGTTTTTGCTCAGATGTGGCGTTTGAGGTTCCTTGTGTAGAACCGCTCCTGTTCTGAAGTGAGTTCTGTGGCAATCCATCCTACCTGTTGCAGCTTCGCCCGCAAAAAAAATGAAAGGAAAAGGGTGCAAATGAGGTTGGGTGGGGGTTTGTTGGTCCAGATGTGGGTGTTTACAAGGCTCACCTGTGCACTGTTGTTGACACTGCCGATGCAACGCTGCTGCTGCTTTGTATGCCTTGAATATATGTTTTTTTTTCTTTTTTTTTTCGTCATGCCAAAGACCTGATTACAGTTTGAATTCCTTTCTGTGGTTTGCTGGGTAGGCGGTTGTTCAAATTTGATCACACCTGTTGTGTGTGCGTCACACGTTGTATACCTGTCTCCCGCTCACCACAACTGTTTCTTCTCAGACGTCAATCGTGTGGAGGGGGGAAATGGCAGGCCTGTAGTTAGTCAGATCGGTCTCTCTCTCTCTCTCTCTCTCTCTCTCTCTCTCTCTCTCTCTCATGCTACTTTTAAAGGTCTCGATGGAACATGGATCAGATATGAAACTCAGAGCAAGATTCTACACTTGATCGTGGCCGGTGGGGTGAGGTAGGGGGTGAGGTGACACGTAGTTAGTTAGGTTGAGCTCTCTCTCTCTCTCTCAGACGCGACACATGCTATTTCTTTTGAAGGTCTCGATGGACCACGGATCAGATATGAAACTGATCGGAGCAGATACTACACTTGATCGTGGGGGATGTTGTGGGGGGTAGGGTGGCACGTAGTTAGATTGGTCTCTCTCTCTCTCTCTCTCTCTCTCTCTCTCGTCGCAACTGATCATAGCAGATACTACGCTTGACCATGGGGGGTGGGGTGGCACATAGTTAGTTACGAGTGGGCAATCTCTCTCGCTCTCTCGCGCTCTCGCTCTCGCTGTAGCTCACATGCGCGCGTGTTTTTTTTTCCTTTTCTAAAATAAAAAGGTCTCGATGGATATGAAACTGAGCGGAGCAGATACTATGCTTGATCGTGTGGGGGGAGGATCGAATATGAAACCGATCGAAGCAGATACTACACTTGGTCGTGTGGGCTGTTTGGGGGTGAGGTGAAAAGTTAGTTAGGTTGGGTTCTCTCTCTCTCTCTCTCTCTCTCTCTCTCTCTCTCTCTCTCTCTCTCTCTCTCTGTGTTGCATACTGTAACGTGCAGACCAGAACAAGAACCGACCTCTCAATACAAAGCACAAGATAACACAGTGAAAGACTTAGATACGAATGATCCGAACAATCAATATTGCAATGCAGCTCTGAACACACATCATCATCATCGTTATCTGGTGTGAAGGGGGTCTGGCGCTTCACACAAGAAGACTGAGCCAGCCCCAACCTTACACAGACGAAGGAGGGATTAGACGAAAGAGGAGGGGAAGATGGGAATGTCGTCAACACCAAGTCTCGATACAGGCCCAAATAGTCCCTCGTCGAAATGTCCAAATCCCAATGTCCAGTCTGGATCCAATTTCGTCAAGTCTCCAGTCACAACTCTTTCTCTCTCTGTCGTAGTTTGAGAAGTCAGGTAGCGAGAGGGTGAGAAGAGATGGTGGACTTACAAGAGGAAGAAGAAGAACTCTCTCTCTCTCTGTGTCCAGTACTAACATGTGAAGTTGGCGCCTTGATGCACGTACCACGAAGATGGAGCTGGAGAGATGGCGCCACAGGTAAGTACCACTGGCCTCCGCCAGTATCTCTCCCACTCCACGATCTACCACCTACCAGCGCCCAGCGCTGAGGACTACTCTATGGCTATGGCGCCCAGCGCCGAAGACTACAGCTAGCGCTAACTCCTGCCTAGNTCTATGGCTATGGCGCCCAGCGCCGAAGACTACAGCTAGCGCTAACTCCTGCCTAGCGCTGAAGACTACTGCAGCGCTCCTCCTGGGTGCTGCGGGCGCATCCTGAAGACTACTCGTGCTTACTGACAACTACTTACCTGTGAATGTATGGGAAGCCCTATGACCTAACCGGGTGCCTCCTGACTGCAGGCGAGCAGTCCAGGAGGCTGCTCTTGCCAATGCCGAGCGGAGGCAGGGGCTGCAGCTGCAGCTCCTGCTCAAACTCGTGAGGAAGAGGCTATTTCTGGCCTGTTCTGCATCCTTGTTTACGTGCCTGAGTCTTAGGGGTGGTTGAAACAATGAGGGCCTGAAAATGGCCCTCCGTTTCAGGCTGGAAAAACTCTGGGTCTGAATGACCCAGAAATAGGCTGAAACGGAGTAGGGCCTGCAGGCCCTCGTTTTTCAGCTTTCAGGCTGAAACGACCGGGCCTGTAAGCCCTAAGTTGTAGGCTTTTAGGCTGACTGTCCGGGACGGGCCCTGCAGGGCCCGTATGGCTACGCAGTATGCCACCCCCCCCCCCTCCTTGAAAAACCGAGCTTACCTGCAAGGGCAAAGCTGTCTGCCTGAGGGAGGGACCACAGTCCGGGTGGGAGGGGCGGGTCGTGAAGCTTCCTGAGCTAACCTCCGCTTTTCACAATGGGCGTAGATCAGTGGTGCGGATGCTTTCAAATCTGCGCCTGAAATCCACCGAGTGTCATCACGATCACATGCTTTGAATGTGACTTTGTGCTGTCGCGGCCTGCTGCCGTACTTGCGATCGGTGATGACGCGGTCAACTTCCTGATGACCATCCATAGGAGGGTCCTGCGATCGTCGGTCCGGAAAGTCGTCGCTCTTGGCTGGCGTGTATGTTGCCAGCTTCGAGGCGTGGAAGACCGGATGGACCGTCAGATGCTCTGGAATGTTGATCACAAATGAGGGGCCATTGGGCTCATCGCCCGCGGCTGCTGTCACAGACCAAGTTCCAAACCACTTGGGAAGCAGTTTGCGTGAAACATCCTGTTCCAGTGCAAACTCTTCCGCGGAGACTCAAACCAGATCACCGGCGTGAATGGGACATGGTACGCGACGCCTGTTGGCTTGCTGCTGCATGCGGACTTGAGCCTTTTGCATATTTGCGCGGGCTTGAGTCAGTAATTCCCTATACTTCCGAACGAAAGCGGGAGAGCAGGCAGCGTCAATGTCGGCTGGTCGAGGGAGGAGAAGGTCGGCGAAGACACGGCCTTTCCGTCCACCGTGGTGCAACTCGAATGGAGTCATGCCGATCGTCGGGTGCACCGAAGTGTTGTAGGCGAGCTCAATGTTGGGGAGGCGGTCAACCCAATCTTTCTGGTCCGGACGGATGAGCGTATGAAGCATCATTTGAGCGGTTTGATGTGCCCGCTCCGTCTGCCCGTCTGTCTGAGGATGCCGAACCGAACTTGGTTTCATTGTTGTGCCGGACTCCTGCATGAGAGCAGTCCAAAACGCCGACATGAAACGAGTGTCGCGGTCGCTCACAATGTCTTCTGGTACACCATGGCCACAAATCCAACCAGTGTGCAGGAGACCTGCCAGCTCGGGAGCCTTGGAGTAGTACTTGCAAGAAGAGAAAACGCGCGTACTTACTCAATCGGTCCACAACCGTGAGGATGCCGTCGTGCCCGAGCCGGTCCCGAGGAAACAGACAAGTGACGTCCATGGCAATGGAGAGACCGGGTTCCCGTGGGATACGCATCGGGTGTAACTCGCCTTAGGGATTGCGGTTGCGGGGCTTGCTGCGTCGGCAAACTTCGCAAGAGTCGCAATACCAAGTGACATCGGTAATGAGATCGGGCCATCGAAATCGTTGTCAAAGTCATGGAGTGCGGTTGACTCCGAAATGGCCGGCGAGTCGCGAGTCGTGGTACTCCCCGAGAAGGCGACTCCGAACACGACGATCGCGTGGGACACAATAAGTCCTTGCCTCTCGAGGGGAAGAGCAAGTATCCGTCGGTAATGCGATACGGGCTGGCCGGCGCGTGATCCGAAGAGTTATGCGTACAGCGTGGCGAAGTCCGGATCACACTCATATGCCCGGATGAAGTGTCACTAGTTCCTCGTCGAATGCGAAGGCATGATGTGTCATAGCCAAAAGATCTGGTCTTCGCGAGAGTGCATCTGCTGCGCGATTTGAGAGGCCTGGTAGATGTTTCGGTGTGAAGTCAAACTGGCTGATGAAGTACATCCATCGTCCGATCGTGCTGCTCACCGTATCCTGCGTCTTCTAGTAGGTCAATGGATTGTTGTCTGTGACCAAGGAGGAAGTGCCGCCATCGCTTGAGAGCCATGACGAACGCGAGTAGCTCCTTGCATCATCAAGCGAGTTGATGGGAAGCACTTTGTGGCTGAAGTACTCCACAGGGTGCCAGTCGTCGCTGTCGTGCTGTTCCAAGACTGCCCCAATGCCATAGCCGAAAGCGTCAGTTGTCACCGTCGTAGGCAGAAGGGTTCATAGATGTTAAGGACGGGTGCCATGAGCATGGCCGTCTTAAGTCCTTGGAATGACAAGCGTGCATCGTCATCCAATACAAATGGCACCTTTGGCGATTGTAATCTCGTCATCGGTGCAGCAATCCTTGAGTATCCGGTGATGAATCGCTGATAGTAGCCCGCCAACCCCATGAATGAACGAACGTTCATGGTGTTGGTGGGCTCGGGCCACACTCGTAGGGCCTCGATCTTGTCCGCGAGCGGACGGATGCCTCTCGGCGTCACATAGTGGCCCAAGTACTCCAGCTCCTGCTGTGCGAACTCGCACTTGTCGCGGTTTGCTTTGTACTTGGCCTTTCGTAGCCGCTCCAAAACGGTGCGCAGATGTTCCACAAGCTCATCCAAACTCCGACTGTACACCAAGATGTCGTCGAGGTAGACGAGTACAAACCGATTCAGCATGTGTCGAAACTCCGTTGTCATAGCCGCTTGGAAAGTGGTTGAGGCATTCTTAGGGCCAAACGGCATAACCAGCCATTCGAAATGCCCATACCGTGTCTTGAACGCGGTCTTGTAGCGATCCTCCTTGCAAATCTCGAGTTCATGGTACCCAGACTTGAGATCCAGCTTAGAGAAGAATTGGGCGCCGCCCAATCGCTCGAGAAGGTCATCGATGCGTGGGAGAGGGTAGGCGTCCCTGATCGTCTGCGCGTTGAGCTTGCGATAATCGATGCACAACCGTAGGTCCTCGTTCTTCTTCCGGACGAAGAGAATAGGAGCACCTTATGGCCATGAGCTAGGGCGAATCCAGCCTTTCTCCGTAAGGTCGTCGAGTTGTGCCCGAAGCACACTTAACTCTTCCTCGCTCATTCGGTAGATGCAACCGCGCGGAGGTACGGCCCCGTCCTCGAGGATGATCTCGTGGCCGATGGGTCGATCCGGTACTACTCCGTGCGGGCCTTCGACACGTCGCTTTAGGCGTCGAGAAGCTCGGTGATGCGTGGATCCAAAGGTGAATCCGTCAATGAAGCGTCATGGGGCGGGAGGGCGTGGAGAACACAACCATCTCCTCGATGTCGTCTCTGATGATGGAAACTCGCATGCTTGCGGCGTATACCACGTGGCAGCTAATCGAAGGACGAGGAAGAGGCACCGTGCATGGAACTAATACTCTGCTCAATCACGAACGTGAACGGTGCAGTTGAAGAAGTTCACCCGGTGGTCCTCGCTTCGCAGCCATGACATGCCCAAGATCATGTCGAATTTGGTGTCCAGAATGTCAAAGGACACCGCCTCACTTGCGTGAGGGGCAAAGTACACGGGGACGGCGTCAATGCACCGGTCGATTGACTTGTGCGTGTGACCGTCCGCCAATGTAACTTGTGTAGGCTGGGGCTTCCTTCGGACGAGTGGGCCAAGGCCGACGCGCACCATGAAGTCCTGGCTTATGTCCTTCAAGTCCGGTACGTCGATGCCGTGGGAGGTTGCTAGGTGGCTCAACCAGGTCTGGCATCTGCCCTTTGAGTTCAGGAACAGGGCGCCGATGTACGCATGCTTGGCTACGGGCAGAATCCTGAGTTACGTTGTGAATGCTTCCCACCAGAGGACCGGATCCTGCTGCGTGTAGTCGTCGAACTTGTCCACTTGGAAAGTTGGCATCTTGTACATCTTCGGATGGTCATCCGCGTTCGTCGACTGCAACTGCTGGACCTCATTCTTCAAGGTATGCAGCTGACTGCTGATGGTGGTCGGCGCAGCGAAGGTGCTGCTGTCGCCGAGCATTTCCACTACGTGGTCAACGCGTTCCTCCAGTTGGCGGCTAGAGGATGCACTGCTGGAAGCCCCAGCAGCTGGTCCTGGTACAGCCTGTTCCAGGTCCAGCAATCGGGCATCGAGTGTCCGAGTTACATCCTCGTGGCTCTGCCCTGTACGGCGGAGCTTTGCCAACTCCTGATGTTGTTGCGTCAGGTTCTGGTACTGTTTCTCCAACTCGGACCATTGGTAGTTGCAAGCATACAACAACCGTGTCACGAGTTTGGAGAGAAACTCCTTATGCTGCTCTTCCGGTGTTCCATCGTCGCCGTTTGGTTCAAAGTGCCAGAACTTGAGTTTTTCGATGCTTGTGGCTTCATGCCGCTGCAGCAGATCCTGGGCTTCCTTGCGGCGAGCCTGGGCATCTGCGTCTGCTTCGACTTGTAGCCAACTCTGCTGTTGCCGCTTCTTCAGCCTGTAGCTGGGCAGCCTTTCCTCAGCCTCGATTGCAACGATCTGAGCCTGAAAGTGCTTTTTGTAGTCGGCAATGGGCTCATTGGCCAGTTGGCCTGGCAGGCCCGTCATGTTGCTGACATGGCACTCTGCCTGAGGTGCCATTGTGTCTGACGTGGCATTGCTGACATGGCACTGTGTCTGATGTGGCACTGCTGATGTGGCACTGCTTACATGGCACTGTGTCTGACATGGCACTGCTGATGTGGCACTGCTTACATGGCACTGTGGCTGATGTGGCACTGCTAACATGGCACTGCTGACATGGCACTGCTGACTTGGCACTGCTGATGTGGCACTGCCTACATGGCACTGTGTCTGATGTGGCACTGATGATGTGGCACTACTTACGTGGCACTGTGTCTGACGTGGCACTGCTGACGTGGCAGTGCTTACGTGGCACTGTGTCAACCCGGAATGCATGCAAAGGGGTGGGTGGGAGGGAAAACGTAGGTAGGCAAACAACCCAACAATACTTTCCTCCGGCCCTAATCAACAGATAAAGAAATAAAAAATAAAAGAGGACTACTTCCTTTTTTTTTTTCTTTTTTTTTTTTTTGTACATCTGTCGATCTATTATGAGTAGGACATGTCAGAAGAGTACTATGAACGAGATCTAGGCTAGGTTCCGCAAAGCTTTGGCTTTAACAAACTGCTATCTTGAAAATTTTTTTGCAAAATGGAGTAAAGATGCGATTTTCAGAAAAGAACGAAATCCAGTTTCTGAGAATATAGCAACCTCCGAATATGCCTAACGCAATATTGGTAGGCTTCGCAAGATTCGGTTTTCAAAAAAAAAAATTTGCGAGATAGAATGGAAATGCGATTTTCAGAAAAGAATAATTCCAGTTTCCGAGAATATGACCACTTCTATCGTCATCCCAATATGCCTAGAGAACGAAATACTAACTTCAGAAATTTCAGCTATGTATGCGAAATACAGAGAAACGAAAAGCTACTATCAGGAATTTTCAGACAAAACGAAATGCGTCAGAAATTTTCAGATATTTGTTACGTAAAAATGAACTACTAATATCCGAAATTTTCAGGTAAAACGAAATGGTATATCAGAAATTTTCAGATAGTTGTTGCGAGAAAAAAAAAAAAATTCAGAGATTTGACCAAGTCCTACTTGCGTTACTAATGAGTGATCAMTAGATCGCAAGCTGGCTACTTGATTGAGCGGGTCCTCTGAATGAGAGGTCCGCTCCGATACCAAACTGTTGCATACTGTAACGTGCAGACCAGAACAAGAACCGACCTCTCAATACAAAGTACAAGATAACACAGCGGAAGACTTAGATACGAATGATCCGAACAATCAATATTGCAATGCAGCTATGAACACACATCATCATCATCGTTATCTGGTGTGAAGGGGGTCTGGCGCTTCGCACAAGAAGACTCCGCCAGCCCCAACCATACACAGACGACGAAGGACGGGTTAGACGAAAGAGGAGGGGAAGATGGGAATGTCCTCAACACCAAGTCTCGATACAGGCCCAAATAGTCCCTCGTCGAAATGTCTGAATCCCAATGTCCAGTCTGGATCCAGTGTCGTCAAGTCTCAAGTCACAACTCTTTCTCTCTCTGTCGTAGTCTGAGAAGTTCGGTGGCGAGAGGGTGAGAAGAGATGGTGAACTTAGAAGAGGAAGAAGAAGAGCTCTCTCTCTCTCTCTGTGTCAAGTACTAACCAGTGAAGTTGGCGCCTTGATGCGGGTACCACGAAGATGGAGCTGGAGCAATGGCGCCACATGTAAGTACCACTGGCCTCCGCCAGTATCTCTCCCACTCTACGATCTACCACCTACCAGCGCCCAGCGCTGAGGACTACNTCTATGGCTATGGCGCCCAGCGCCGAAGACTACAGCTAGCGCTAACTCCTGCCTAGCGCTGAAGACTACTGCAGCGCTCCTCCTGGGTGCTGCGGCCGAATCCTGAAGACTACTCGTGCCTACTGACAACTACTTACCTGTGAAGTGCCTGGGAAGCCCTATGAACTACCCAGGTGCCTCCTGACTGCAGGCGAGCAGTCCAGGAGGCTGCTCTTGCGAATGCCGATCGGAGGCAGGGGCTGCAGCTGCAGCTCCTGCTCAAGCTCGCGAGGAACAGGCTATGTCTGGCCTGTTCCGCATCCCTGTTTACGTGCCTGAGTCTTAGGGGTGGTTGAAACAATGAGGGCCTGAAAATGGCCCTCCGTTTCAGGCTGGAAAAACTCTGGGTCTGAAAGACCCAGAAATAGGCTGAAACGGAGTAGGGCCTGCAGGCCCTCGTTTTTCAGCTTTCAGGCTGAAACGACCGGGGCCTGTAAGCCCTAAGTTTTAGGCTTTTAGGCTGACTGTCCGGGACGGGCCCTGCAGGGCCTGTGTGGCTACGCAGTATGCCACTCTCTCTCTCTCTCTCCATCCAGAGTCTTCCGCAAACATTTAAACCATCTTCATAGACCCCTCTCTCTTGCGCGCGCGGAGGGCGGGAGGGCTGGAGGGCGTCACAGCCACGGGAGGGCGGCAGAGCGGCGGGAGGTCGGTGGTGGGGGGCGGAGGG